ACCCGAGACGCAGCGGTTATGCAGGCCTCGCGCCCTTTATCCCCCTGAGCGAAGGAGCCATGCGAAAGTGCACTTTGCCGTTACAAAATCCGGGATAATATACAATTTTTGACGGTCCACAACAAAGTGTTTACTCGGAGAGGAACATGCCGTCCACCGTGCATAGCTGAAGCGGGACGGCCGACGCGACAGCCAAGAGAGGAGAGCACTTCTACAAACTTACTACCGCGTCCTCGAGCAATGTGGCGCACATACACAACAGGAGAAACGAACTGCGATAGAGCCCGAGTATATCATGGTCAGCGGATTCGCGTCGTAGAGCTCTTAGGGCTTGATACTCGACTATACATGTATAAACAAAGTGGTGCAAGATGCCAAAGCACTTGTTCAGGAGAATTATGGTCGAAAACCCATCCAAACGTCCGAAATCCACATTGCTGCCGTGACGCGCACTGATGGCCGCTGCTGCGCGACGCAGTGGTTCTTGGTGCCCAAGACAATATGTACAAGTATTTATGAGAAAGAAATGATATGAAATGCCATTTGTTGAGAAGTTAAAAAGCAAAACGAAAACTAGAAATGCCATGCCAGGAATCTTTCAGTGGCGGAGGTTGTAGCGGTGGTTGCGGCGTCGGACATTCGGTGCGGCAGCAGCTTGCACGGCAGCTTGTGCGGCTGCTTGAACAGCAGCAGTTTGTGCGGCGAGACCGTTCGCGGGGGTTGCTTCTTCGTATCCAGTCCGAATCGCTGCGGCGATCGTCGTTGCCAAATGCACGGGGTAGTCGGGGAGCAAGCCTTGCATGATATGGCCGTGTCCATCTGAGGTGCGGTACAGATCGTCACCGAGCAGCGTAATGAAAGGTCCATGGTTCCACGGCTGGAGCTCGACGACGTGCGGCAGCTCGGCAGCCATCGCATCGACCTCGTCGCGTACATGCACGTGCCCTGGGAGGTACACGTTCCCGTGTAGAGCGTAGTTGCCGCAGCTCATGGCGTCCGTGATCGCAATGTTTTTGCCGAGACGACGGTAGAGCACAGCGAGCGCGGGCATCTGCGCCAAGATGGGGTTCATGTTGGGGTCAAGCGTCGCCGCGTTCCGCAGCGGGTAGAGGACGAGAACAAGGACCGTCTGGAGCACGGGAAACTCAGCGAAGAGCGCGCGTGTGTGCAGGTCGTACTTGTTGAACGACGTGTTGTGCGTGACGGCGACCTCGATCATGCAGCGGGGCAAATGGCTCCAGGGGTCGCCGCGGATCGCGCGTCTCGGTCTAATCGCGAGGTCGGGTCTGCGGGCGTGGCCGGCATGGTAGTAATCCACGTCTGTGGTGGACTTTAACGGCGTACCTGCCAAGACGGCGCGCACAGCGTCGTTCAGACAGATAATGACCTCCTGGTGCACTTCGCCAGGCACCTCGGTGATGAAAATGTCGCCGCGGGTCGTCTGGGTAATGACGTCGCCCTCGTACGTCGCTCGGAAGACGGCGAGGCCGGACAAACGACCGTCCAGCCAGCGACGGAGGAGCACGTCTTCGGCGATGAGGAGGTCACCGTCTTCGCCGT